TACAGTTTATGCTGCCCTTCTGTATTTAAGTGGACACCATCGTATGACAAGTATGAACGGGAAGCCCGCCAAAATCCCCGATGCGTCCAATATATGGCAAAGGGAGCGGTTCTAAGACCCCTTGAAGGTACTGCGCCAGGATTTGTACGTTTGCATTGAACGTCCCAACCGGGTGCCTTTTAACGGTTTGACCAACACAAACTAAACGAACCCCGTACTCATTATGAAGTAAACAGACCAAATCCTCGATGGCAGAGCCAACAGATGCTGGAGAGGACCGACGGCGTGTGAGGTCGTTAGTACCGATTTGTAAAAGTACAACATCAGGTTTAAAACGTTCTACTTCGGTTAAATCAAACCGCCTAACCTTATCGATTGTTCGACCCCCAACGCCATGCCAATGAATTGTAACCGGGGTATTAATGTTTAAATTAAGGTTATATGTGGGACTATTCCTAATAACAAAATCCCGGAGCCTACGTATAAAGGAGTGACCCAAAATCAGAACCCTCGGCTGTTCCATACCGACAAAAAAGAAAAACACAAAAGAACTTGCCTGAGAAATTTGAACAGATAACTTGCCACACGATGGTGTAGAGGTAGAAAGGGGCCCTCGTATTCGCGCAACGTACTATAAAGTAATGCTCGATCACATGTTACCTAGTACCCAGTTCGCGCAGCCAGTGCTTGATAACAACAGGTATCCCGACGCAAAAATGTAATTATGTTTGGGACATAATTTTTGTATTTTCTTCGAACTCGGTTAAAAGATGTTTATTTATGGAAGGAAAGTGACGTAAGATGCCCCGCTACATCAAGGAGATAGCTTTTTGTTGTTGTTTCCGATAAGTACGTGGACGTGGTTCCTCTTTTATCGCCTGCCATTTACAGGAAAGAAAAGTTACGCTAAAAAGCAGCTGTTGCCGACTTTACTTTACTTAACACAAGTTTGGATTTGTGTTTACTCTTTGGTCGTCTTACAACTTTGTTTCGATTTTGAATCCCGAGTGTGGCTAGGCATCAGATAATGAAAATTCACGCGCGTATTTCAGTAACATAGTCGCGAGAGCTCGCATATAACGTGGCTTTGTAGTTCTGTACTTGGTAAGGAAATTTATTTCTTTGCAAAAAGGAAGACACTATCCCCAAGAAAAGCAATTTTCCAGCACAGCAATGTCAGGAATTTACGTGCTTCAACGGTCTACACGGTCTACACGGTCTACCATCATATGAGATAAATATAATAATATATTCTATTTCTTACTGTTGCAGAATGGTAGACCGTGGATGATGGTAGACTGTCAGAAAATAGAAATTAACATAGCACACAACTTTTTCTGCTCTCTACCTCTAACGGACTTTAATAACCATCTTATTTTCACCGTAGTAGATGAAAAAAACTGAACGGTTTTACTTTAACAGCGATGTCGAAAAATAAGTCACGCGGTATACCGATTACATAACGCCATTGCATATCAAATGTCATTGCGTTACAGATACAGGGGTGAAAATGAAGGTTTGGCACCTTTATTCGCCACTATAGTATCTCTAAATACCGAGAAAAGGAAAATTATGCTGTTATTATGCATTCGCGCTTCTCAGAGTTTAATTACAACGCCGAAACTTTAAGCCATGTCACGGTCGATAATGGCGCATGCGTTACAACAAAACTGAGGCAAAATTTACAAGTCACTACATTCTTAAGCTCTTTTTTAGGCAGTTTGCTATCAATGACAATGATGTATCGGCTGGGAAAAGCAACACAAAGTGCCATTCTATTTATTTATGTCGCTATAGTCTTCGTTTTGGGAATTTACGACGTGGAAATCGCTTGTTGAAGTAAACCTTAAATGAGACAACCAGTTGCAAAAGTACTTGAGACACTGTACCGTAGTTTGGCATAAATGGCCTGTCCATGATCTTGTGCTTGTGATCCCCCTCCACCCCTTATCAAAGTTGCTAGCAATACAAGACCATACTCAAAACTTGGAGGAACAACCTTGAATGAGAGGGAGGAGGGAGGTCAGTATTATATTTTACAGACCTGTGACCAGGAGAGATTTGAAGCAAGAAAGGTCGTTTTTCCGTGGGAGTGTCTCATCATTTTTGCAACTGGTTGTAGCAACGTTCAACAATTAACGATGACCCATTATCATAACTCATAACAAACATCCAAAGGCCACATCAGCCGAAGGAAAAGACAAAACACAAATGACACCTCGCTGTCACCATTCGTAACCATCCCACGACCGCAAAAAGGCTGAAGGAAATACAAATAAGCGAATTCACGGCGTCTCTCTAGCCAAAAGCTAGATGTCACCGCCGAACAAAACGGCCACGTCGCTTGTACAATAAGCAAATCCTCAGCGTTCCTCTAGCTAAAAGCTAAACGCCCAACGCTGGTCCGTCAACCAACCACCGCCGAACAAATCGGCCACCTCGCCTGTACGGTTTGTAACCATCCAACGACCACAAAGGCCGAAGAAAATACAAACAAGCGAGTCCACGGGGTTCCTCTAGCCAAAAGCCAGACGCCGACCGCTAATCCGTCAACAAGCCACCGCCGAACAAATCGGCCACCTCGCTCGTACGGTTTTGTAACCATCCAACGACCACAAAGGCCGAAAGAAATACAAAATAAGCGAATCCACGGCGTTCCTCCAGCCACAAGCCAGACGCCGAACGCTAGTTCGTTAACTAGCCACGCGGAATAGCCCGACAATCTTCCGAAAAGATTTCGATAACAGGCCGCGATCGGGCCAAAAAAGCTCTCCGTTATTCTCTCCACCATGCTGTGTGAAGAACCTGAAAGATACGACAGACAAGAGAAATATGCCACGAAAAAATTCATAACAACTAAAAGAGAACTACCTCCAGTTCTTGAGGCTGAGCGACATTAACATTCTGGTTGCCATCCGGTGGATTCACAACCGGCGGATTCACAACTAGCGGGTTCACGACCGGTGGATTCACGACTGGCTCTTCAGGATCGACAAGTAACTGAACGTTCGGCTCGGGAGGTTGACCCTCAGCCATCAGGAAATCGTCAAGAAAATCGCGTGGGTCGTATCTTCCAAAAGAAAAGAGACCAGCTCTTCGCGGCTCCGCTGAAAAACTGAGCAAGAATGGTTTATTTTCGCGCCAAACCAGAATTTATTATCGGTAATTACGTAATCGCACGTGAGACCGCTAGACTAGCCATGAAAGAACCCATTATTGAATTATTTTAACCTCGCATATCATTATGAGTGTTGTGAATAGTCCCATATTTTTCCTCTCAACCTGCGAACGCATACGTATCTCTGGTCGTCGCCTCTCTCTACCCGAAAAACTCGGGAATCTCACGTAAATGACCACATTTTGTAAGCGACCAACCGATCTATTAACATTTTGTCTCATGGAATTACATATATTGTAACTTGCGATTACACTCAATGAACCCATTTCCAAGTAGGTGTTTCGGGACCCCTTCTAAGAAAAGCGACCACCACGAAGTCTTCGCACCTTGGTTGGTCGCTTATGGAGGGTTCGATGGAAGTTGAATAATAAAAAAGTGCGTTCATCTACAATCTTATGTATCGGGGGCACCCAGCGACTGTTTTCTGTAAATTATCTGGAGAAGCAAATATTGCCTAGAATTTTCTGTTACTTGAAGACGGCTAAAAAAATGTATTTGATCCGGCCTTCCATTCATGTACAATCTTTGAAGCTAATTTAATAAATTCTTTACGATTTTCAGAAGTTTCATTTTTCACACGTCATTCCCCAGTTTAGGCTGTTTTTCGTAGAAAAAGGAAACCTGAAATTTTCGGATTCAAAAATGTGATGGAGAGAGGGATAAGAAAAATTCCCACTTTCGTAATATGTGAAAAATTGAAACTAAAATTTTCGGGAAAATAATACTGAAGCCCTTGTAATTTCGAAAAAGGCTCAAGTTTCCCTCAGAATGCTGGACCGAGCATATGCAAATTTTATAGCGTCGATGATAATACATTTCTAGAGATCTAAGGGTACTCTGTATAGCCTAAATGTGTTTTCAGTAAATTTAGGAGGAAACTTTCGTTGGTTCCCATGATTTATCTGCAATTCTGGTCAAAACGTTTGAGACACTTAGTGCCTCAGGTGGGGAAACTGTAATTCAAGTTGACCCCCTCCCCCCCTGAACAGTGTTGGGTGCTACAAGGTCAAACACATTTTACATATTTTGCATACGCTAAGGATCTCAACTTTGTTCAGGGGGTGGGGGGTGGGGGAAAAATCTTGTTAAGGCCGTGTTTATGAGTGTGTATCGCAGGTTAGCTGTAAATTCCATAGAAAAAGAGGTGAAAAAGGGGAGGTGTCCCAAAACCTTTTGGCCAGGATTGTAGGTCAGCCTCGCCCCCATGCGAGGTAATCCAACCCAGTCAAGGACAGTTCTGGATTGCACAATGTGGTCGCTGTGGCTTCCGGATTCCAGGCAATCGAAGTCCAGATTCCTTGTCAGTGGAATTTGGATTCCGGATTCCAGTCGTTTGCAAGATCCCTGATAATTCAAGCTGGATTACGGATTCCAAAGCCCAGGACGCCGGATTCCACATGCAAAACTTTCCCAGATTCTGGATTCCACAATCAAAGATTTCCCCCATGGCGGAATCCGGAGAACCTCACATGGGGAAATCAACTGACAGTTATTGGATTGTGAGGACTTAAGTGAACGAAGTGGATTTCGCTGGAAGAAAAACTAAACAAAAGACAGAAATTCTAAAGAGAATATGATGCTCAAAAGTGGCTAACTTGGCACAGAGTCCTCGGTGAAGGACAGACTGCTACATAACAAGACTTTCAACAGGTTCGATACCTATTGATCCTGATTTTTTCTTACAGATAAGTTTCTTAGCTGCTCTCCTGCACTGCTGCATTCTTATAGCATAAACAAGGGGATTCAAGATAGAATTGAATAAATACAATGGGTCAAAAGTATAAGAGATACGATAAGCTATCGCCGTTGGTGAAATTTCTTTCTACCACAAGTGGTCTGCAATTATGGCATCCCAAATAACGGCAGGAAGAATGGTCAGAAACGAGGTCAAGGTCATGATAAATAATGTTAGCGATAGTTTTCTCTCTTCCGAAAGTAACGAGCCAAAATTCTGTGCCGAGTGAGTATATTTCTTGACGTTTAGAATAATCCTAACATAAGAGACTGCGAGAATTAGAAGGGTGATAAAAGCAAAAGATGCATATGCGTATGGGAATACAAACGAAACACGCAATAAAAGAAAAGCAAACACAAATGCTAGAACCAATGCCACCAACCAACTAAAAGCAATAATCCTAAAGTAAACCTTTCCTCCAATAAGGCAGTGCTTGAAAGGATATATTGTAGCATGTAACCTTTCTAAAGAAATCAATAAAATATAGACTAAGGAGGCTACCGGAAATAGGAAATACAAAGTCAGTAACATAAGTTCTTGTCAGCTGAACCACTCGTCTGTAGAACGTGGCAGGTACCTCTCAAGGATTGCTGGTTCCAATATGGATAACAGGCCTTCAGTTGCTCCAAATAGTAAATCAGCCACAGTCAGATTTATTATCAGGTACGTACCGCGCTTGCGCAATTGGTGGTTCACCCCGCGAAGGTGGCGAGTGTGAAGGCGTTTACCAAAACAATGAAAACTACTTCTGTGACATAACTTAGAAACAATATCCATTCTGTTTCAGAAATGATGAGCACTTCATAAGATTCATTGGTAGCACTGCATTCGTTTACCCTCAAATAACATGTACTCAGATTCATCTTACAGCCAGAGCGTTGCTCTCTCTGACATTCATGTAACTTTATTATCTGAGAAAACGGAGGGAAAAAAGAGTGTAAATTAAAACAGCCACTATGATAAGAATTAACGAAAGAGTCGAACTTCGGAGTGTATTTCTAAGACCATTTGGGAAATGAAAGACACTGAATGACGTTGCCTGAGATCGAGCTTGAAAAATATAAAAATATTAAATAAATACGTAAATAGATAAACAAAATATATACGCTAAAGGTCCACAGAGCTCTAATTGGTGACTGCTCTAGCCTCACACTGGACGTAAACACCATCTTGTATATGTTGAACATCGAAACACATGGGTGTTAATAAGTTGTAGCTTTAGGTCCTTTAGCAGCCGTTAGCCGTTCCGTTTGAGGTGAGCACAAAGCACATTGTAATATTTCATTGATGTTCAAATATATTCAAGGGTAATTAATACATCACCATAATGCCCAGTGGGTTTCCTTCACTAGCTATTAATTACAAGTTGTTTTGCCCTAAACACCGAAAATATTCTTTTTCTATTTTAATTTACTCTTTTATTTATCTTTCAGTTGTATAAAAAGACCATAACCAAGAGTAGGTGGCGGTAAGTAAGAAAGCAAAATCAAGTTATGATTCCGAGGAGACTCCATGTCACACGGTACAATGATCCGTGTTATTATTCATTCAAATTATTTCGCCGTTTCTGATTGGCTCCATCAATTCGATGGAAAATTTGCCTGGAGACATAAATTTCAAGCCGTTCGCGCCTAGCCTGTTAAAAAAAGGGTTCACGGCTATCCGAAAACGAAAAAGCTGAACTTCTGACTAATAATGAAAGGAAGAAATGCAGAAATACACAAAACATATCGCTCGATGTTATCTACTTTTTGAGGTATCTGCAGGGAAAATTAACTTCAGTGATACCTTGCCGAGAAGTAGACAAAAGTTCGAAAGAACGTCTACGAGGAAGCTTGCCAAAAAACTTTGAAATATTTTGCTTGAATATTTTAAATTTTTGAAGAATTAAGCTGATCCCTGTGGTTGTCATGCAGTGTCCTCCTGTAGGACTCATTACCTTACTGGTTTAGAACGAAACGTACCGATATAATGGCAGAAAATTAATGATCTATCGTAGATTTCATGGTCTCTTTATATGTGGACGACGATGAAATGCTTTCTTTCTTTTCAGTGAAGGATTTTTTTTTTTTTTTGCGTAACAGACGCAAATTATTCTTATCAACCGTGATAACAACTAGACAAAATTTTAAGAGATATACGGTTCAGTTGTTTGCCGCATACAATAAGAATCAATAGACAATATCTGGCGAGTTATTTTAAACATAACAGCAGAATTAAGACTTACTGTCGAAAAGTAAGCTGTTTGACTCTTTGTAGTAAAAATGTGTAATTTCTTTCTTTTTTTCCCTTCTTTTGCTGATTATCGGGCTTAAAATATTTTTTCTGGCCTTTGAGGGAGCTCAAGACAAACAGGTGAAAATTGCCCATCAAGTTGTTTTCCTTTATTTGTAAGCATGAATTTTAATTCAAGACTTCAAGTATATATTAGAGGAAGCTTGGCAGTGTCCATCATAGCCTGATCAATGTGACACCTGCTTATTTGACAGAGGTTGTTAAACATATAATATACTTATTGGAGCCTAACTATTGGATCTGGAGCAATAAAAGAAAACGGAATTAAGTACGAAAAGAACTAAAATAAAAACAACAACAACAGCAGTACAGCAACTACAACAGAAAAGCAAATAATCCAATTGAAAGTATCTACCCTCCTGAAACGTAGGATATGTTGGTATTATTGATACTCTTCTGTTAGAGTCAAAGCTCCGAACCAAAAAACCAAAAATGACAATTTTAAAGCAAATACGTTTCCCAACTAAACAATACCGAAATGAAATGGATATAGTTTTGCGTGTAATCGCTCTGAAGAAATTAAAACTAGGTTATCCAGAGAAGCTATCCAAAAAATGTCAGCGATTATTAAATACAGAGGCGGATCCAGGATTTTTCGTAGGAGGGGGTGCACTACTAAGGAATGGCGTAATTGACTGGTGACGTAAACAAATTTTAATAGCGAATATGAAGAAGAAGGCTTTCGACTAGGCAATAACATAATGTGAACTGCTGAGAATACATATCAAATGATAAAGCAGATTTTGTATAACTGTGAAGCAGACTGCACAGTGTTAATTAGAAAGCCGCAGGTCATTTCAGGGGGGGGGGGGGTTCGCACCCCCTGCACCCTCCCCCTAGATCCGCCCCTGAAAAATAGAGCTCTGAAGCCATAAAAAGGGAAAATTTATGTTGTGTGGTTCAAACGTAACTGTGTTGATACTGGGCTGTAATATTTTATGGTTGTTAAGTAACACTAGGGACATGCGCAGTACTGTCTTTTCGCTTTACCATTTGCTCTTGCCAAATGGCTGACTTTGTACATCAAGTTTGTTTGTTCATAAATAAATCTTGTTGAAATTTTAAAACGTGGTGGCAGCGGTTAATCAAGTAAAATGCTGAAGTTAAGCCCTCCAGAGAAATTTGATTTTTCCAAACCGCTCGACTGGCCAGATTGGGAGCAGAATTCAAGGTCCGAGTCACGCTCTCACGTCATCATGGGAATTTTACACGTCACTACTAGTTGAATGGCCACTGTGCGGCCGCATTAAAAGACACTATTCCTATGTTTGAACAGAAGCCCTGTCCAGTATGGTTTTCGTGCTGGTGCAAAAGCTGTCCGGTATATATGAACATAGCATAATGGTATTAAGTATGGTAATAAGCCTCGGTAGTTTTTAGTTTGTGTAGTTATATTCCTTTTATTTCATTCTCTGCGTAGGTTATACAGCCAGCGAAGAGGCGCGAGAGCGAAGCAAGACTACCGTAGCCTGGATGAGAACAAAAGGCGATGGAGGCTTTAGAATTTCTTTGTATCATGATCTGATTGGTCAGATCACTGACTGTTGACAAGTGAGCGATGAATATCTGCGATTTATCTATTTTTTATGCAAATTTCCTTCGGTGGAACACAATCTTCATTTTTAAACAAAGTTATTGTCTGCATTGGAGGGATCTTAATTGTCGATGGATGCATTTAATGTTAACACATAATTGATAAAAGTCCACGAAACTGCATATAGAGTCCATGTCTACATTGCTTGCAGTCCAATAGGTTGGTCTCGCCTTACTGGGTACGAAGTGTTTTTGCAGAAAAGCTCCTTCGAAGCTCTCCTGAACTCTGTCAATCTAATCGCGTAGATCACTGGATTCAATATAGAATTAAGGTGATAAAATGTTGTTGCTATCTTCATAGGTGTGAACTCAATCCATAAGTAACGGTCTGAACTTACTGAGATACAAATAATTATTACCCAGGGAAGAAGAGTAAGTATAGAGGCAGCACTAACTATGAATAAAGTTACTGAAAGTTTTCTTTCTGCTGACATAACTGACCCTAACTGCTGGACATGAGCTTTTCTAATAAATTTTGACATAATCATAACATAAGATGTTGTTAGTACTGCAAGGGTAAGAAAAATAAAAATTATCCAGGGGTATCGATCTGCGAAGGGTACATCACTCATGCGACTGATTTGTACACCACATGCTAGAGTCAAAGCTCCGAACCAACTAAAAATGATACTCTTATAGTAAATGCTTTTCTTAACTAAGCAATGCCTAAATGGGTAAAGTGTTGCGTGCAATCGCTCTAAAGAAATTAAAACTAGGTTACCCAGTGAAGCTATCCAACACATGTCAGAGATTATTAAATATACATGTAAAACCCCGAATCCTTTTTTCGGTCTTTTGTTTTCTTTAAGAAGCAGAATGGTTTCAGGTCCTGAAACGGCTGCTATCAGTAAATCAGCCACAGTTAGGTTCATTATCAAGTACGTGTTGCGCCTGCGTAGATGGCGGCTCCTTGCAAAGACGACGAGAGTGAAGGCGTTGATTATAAACACCATGATAAACTCAGTAACCCAGACTGCAAACCAGATGTCCATTGTCGCATTAATAGAATAGGATCTGGAATAAGAGAAAGGTAATAATGAGGAATCATTACAGAATAAGAAGTACAAAAAATAATGCGGATAAAAAAGAATGACGTTACGGTGTCATCTTGACGACATTTTCAAGTTCAAAATGATTGATAAGCGGACAAAAATTTGTCTTATGATATGATTAGGAAGAACGAAACATGCTAAGTCGTGCACTGAAAAGTTTTGCTCCAATTGAGTCCGCTTTGACATTTAGAGAAAGTGTTAGTTCCCTAATGTTCTTGACAACAGTCAGTTCTCTGTTCATAAGGTGGCTCTATACAGTTATTCAGGGTCAACACCTTCCAAGTTTGAGCGTAACAAAGATTTGGAAAAATTTTCACCACAGTTGTATTAGATAAAGATAAAAATTTGTCATGATCAGGATTGCAATAACATAATCGTCATAGCAACAAAATGACAACATTACCTTTTTAACTTGCAGCCGTATTTCTCGGCACTGGGAACTGTTCTTGCAAAATCGTTCACGGGAGCTTTTTCCCCTAATAGCCGCCTCGATGCGGATATTTTTGGGCTTAGAAATCTGAGAAATACGGTAAACAATGATGTTAATGTTCGGCTGTTATCCGTAGAAAACGAAGCGTTTTTGACATGCAATTTCACCTCATCATAGTTTAAATCTTTTTAAAAAAGCGTCTGAAAGATCATGGAGATAGCTCCAACCAATTGCTACAAAGAAGGATTTGATTATTAATAATTATGTATCGAGGCGCCTCGATACAATGATAAAATCCTTCTTTCAAGCAATTGACTCAGTGGACCTATCTCCACAATCATTTACACACATTTTTAAAAAGATTGTAGCTCACCATGAGGTGAAATTGCATGTGAAAAGCGCTTCTTTCTCTACAGATAACGGCCAAACTTCAAGATTGTCCATTTTTTACTGTATTTCTAAACATAAACACTTCATTCCAAAATATCTCGATAACGCGCTTACAGATTTTCACTTAAATTTCACGAACATCTAGCCGGCTATTGGATGAAAAAGCTCCCTTGGACAATTTTGGAAAAACAGTTCCCAGAGTCGAGAAATACTGCTGGGTCATTCCGTTGCTATGACAACTGCGATGTCATTGAAACCCTTATCATAAAAAGTTTTCATCTTTATCGAATACAACTGTGCGCGCAATTTCGCCAAATCTTTGTTTATAGCAACGTAGTTTATGCTCAGACTTAGGAGGTACTGACCCTGAATAATTGTATCAAGCCACCTTAAGAAGTGCAATAACAACTTGGATTGTTTTGTGCATGAAATGTTGCTAATTACGGACAGTTTTCATAAAATTAAATTTGGAAGAATCTTTAAAAATGGTTTTGTCACTGCGAAATTTGGGTCTAGAAAATAATTTTTCTATCATTGCTAAGAGACTACTGATTTCTACTTTTTTTTATAATGGATTGTTGAAATAGTCCAGTTTCGAGTTCGCTATGACCGCTGAATTGAAGAAGCGAAGACGCATCTTTTACACCTTAGCCTCCATCTGAAGTAATATATTCACAAATTCCAACGAGAAAAAGATCTGTTTATTACTCTGTCTATTTTGTATATTCAAATTTCAAGCACTTACTTGCCGGAATTTCTGAATATTTTACTTTACGTCGAGGCTAACCCTGTGTGAAAGTGTCGTTAATGTTTGTATTCAGCGGTAATTTTTAATTCGAAACTGGACTATTAGCCATGATGATACTTTAATCTTACCTTGCCTGGTAGAAAGTTTAATATTTATCTTGTCTTTCAAACCCTTGGCGATCAATCTCCAGTATAGCCTCTTAATCAAAAGAACGTTTTATCTATGTAAAAGCCATTGGTGAACTATAAGTAAATGTTAGAACAGCCAATGAGATTGCACCTTCAACCAGCAATTGATGTGTCATAAAGAATATATCAAAAGGTAGAGCAAACGTGGAAACGACCAATAGAAGCTTTCTTGATGTTATATTTACGGCGGAAAAAAACCGCATTGGGACGGTTCAAAGACGTCTCATCTTTTCCTGATAAGATTACTTGAGGTATTTTAATGCATCCGGACACATCTAATATATAATATATTAAGTCAGAAGAAGGGAGTTTTGCTGGGTTTCAAATCACGTGTCTTATCATGCACCCGAGACGATAGCAATATTCATACACTCTATGCAAACTTCTTTTTACAAAACGAGGCGTAACCAATTTCGTAAGACACAAAACCAACAAACTATAATTTAAGTGAGTCCATGAGAAATTAGGGAAGATATAAGTATTTTTCGTAAGTTACATGCTTGATGACGAGATCACCTTTAATTTTAAGGGTAGCATAATATATTGTTACCCAAGCAAGTTGAAACACTCTCAAAACGTTTATTTCACAGTGAAAGGGGATTGTTACAATATGACGCCATTTTTTATACAAATTTACTGCAAAGCTTAAGTGCGATGTTTCGTTATTGAGGCAGTATACGCCAGCCTTCTGTACCAGCCTTTTAGTGGCAGTGTGAACATGCATCCTGAGTTGTTCGTACCATCGATCCCAGAGTATAAATTTTTTCCTGTCGGTACATTGTAAGCTACATGATATTTTTAATAGTACTGTAGATTAGCCTCACGTTCTCTACAGGCATCGCCGAGCACAATAACTGTTAAATCGATTCCCTTATCAAGACACGAACCAACGCATGCGCATGATTTGATTCCCTTTACCTTGTTTTAGTTACCTAAAGCAGCATTTTTTTCTCGAAACCCTGAATGAAAACATTTAGGCGAAATTGAAATGTGCGCCCATAATATCATAGCCAGCCTCCTTTTTTAAAAAAAAATTCTCTTGCGACAAAAAAAATTAACAACTGCATTATTAAGTAAATTAAATTAAACTTACCAGTAGTCATTCTTCTACCTTTTTCTCCACTTCAGATCAGAAAGGTGCGAATGATCATACTTCAAACAGTCTTGCAAAACTCTGTCGGCATAAAGCGGACGCATTCGGTTGAATCGGTTGATAAACATTAGATGACGTTTAGATGAGGCCATTATTAAAAGTTGGTGGTATTTGCTCCTTCAGATCGATTAGAATAGTATTAAATGTGGTAATAAACCGATTTTCCGTTTTTATTAGTTACAGGCCTTGTGCCGGAAGGCAGTTGTTTGACTTGTTTTGTTAGTCATTTGCATTAGTATGCAAACTCAAAAAAATTGGAAGGTAAATGAGCCATTGAGGGGTGAATTGGAGAGCATGGTCAACTGGGAAAAGCCAATAGAAAATGTCTACAGATCGATTACAACAGTATTTAGTGTGGTAACAAGCCTCCGTATTTTCTTTTGTTAGTAGTTACGGGCCTTCTGTCGGATAGTAGTTGTTTGACTTGTTTTATTATTCATTTGCATAAGTAGAGGGGGTTATTGGAGGGCATGGTTTAAAGCTACATGTATAAATAATAAAAAAAAGAAATAGAGTGGTTTGATTTTATCCTCCAGTTACTTTTTAAATTTTGACAAAAAAAATATTGCTTAATAAAAAACAGTTTGCGCATAAATAAATATATCAATGAATTAATCAACAATATTTACCAGTTTTAAAATATTCAAATGGACAGCTGCCTGAAGGCAATAAGTCTTAAACGGTCAATACTACCGTAGGTAAGCTGTGGTTGTCATAGATACCTTTGGCGTAAATAGTTTGAACAGGCGTCAATTCCACAGCTAACAGGTGCTTTTCAAGTAACTTCGCGGAAAATCCTCTTAATCAATTCCACTTGCTAAAAAACTGATAAAACGTTTCTAAAACATTTAATAAAGCTTAGAAATATTTGACCATAAGGCTAGCTAATCGTATAATCGAATAGCGTCGACATGGAAGAAAGTTCAACATATTTGATAAAAGTACATCAGAATATTTCGTTTTGTGGAGAATAGTTCTGCATTAATCCTTATTTAGTAACTGAAAGAATAACACGTTTATAATCGACAGTGGGTTTGGATGACTTTTTTAGAGACTAATAAATGCCTGAGTTAACATATATGACAGCTGTGAACTAGCGGCAGGTCCTTCTAGTCCTTCTACGGAATATCCATTACTTGAGAAATATCACTTAGTTATGGAAAAACACGAATGATTATCCCAAACATGCACAGAATTAGTCACTGCAGCCACCTAGCTTTTGATTAAACTTTTTTCCTTTTGGTATACTTACTCGCATTAACCCTCTTTCTTCCTTTTATGAACAGTTTTGTGAGGAGCTCTCGTGTTTACATTCACTTCGCGATAGATTAAGAACCTTGCATGGAGAACAGATAAGCAGGTGAAATTTATACATGCAACTTAAAGCAAACATGAATCATTACTCTTCCTTTTTAGGTAAGACTGACGCAATTTAATTCAAGAAGACCAAGAAGCAACTCTTAATGTAAATGGATCAAGCCAATTAGATTGCTTTTGGAAACAAAACAAGGACCTTATGTCCTCCACAGGCTCCATTTCCCATCACGTGTTCTCTAACGTATCCTTATATTTTATATGATAACTGACAATACCCTACGTTCGATGTTAACATGACTCCGAGGATTTAGGGTCAAAATTGCAAATTTTCAACCACTCCATTGTCTCGCAATTCCCAGAAGAGATTTGAACACAAAGAATATCAAACCAAATGTAGAAAAATGACCAGAAAACCTCGAAGTCATGATAGAATTTTGATATATCGAACGTGGGCTATCCCCAAGGGTCGCTGGAGCGACTTTCTGTGCGCGTGTCTGACACAATGACAAACAAAAGAGAGAAGCGTTATCTAAATATTAAATGTTTGGAAAATTTGCGTTTCTCGCTAGAAAGAGCTGGTTTGCCTTCGTCCCATTAAGATGCGCGGTTTGCGCACCAGGAATCAGAAAACTGGAAATGGAATAATTTGTTGTTTGCAAAGGACAACGAAGGCGGCAGAAAACAGATCTTGTAGCGTGGTTTCACGGGTATTTTTTTTTTTTAGCGTAATGATACAAAAGGCAAACTGGGGTGTGTAGATTGTATTAAATTTCGCGATTTTCGTGAAAATTAATACGCGCAAACAAAAGATTGCGTGAAATTTAAACACGCGAATATTAATACCATTTTCAAAAACAAAACAATAAGAATTTCAAAAGTGTTACGAGCCCGGGTGTTTTTTGTACTGTGCACATTTACTGAACATCCCATTTGCGTTTTAAGCACTGAACTGTATGGTATACATTGCATAGACAGCATATGCATGCACAGCAAGCAGTTATGTTTTGTCTTGTTCATAAGGTTTTATGTAGGGCAGTTGTAAGTTTACAATCTTGCTTTGAAATATATATGTTTTATTGATTTGTGACAAATGCCGTCTGCAGAGGATTTACGAAAATAAAACTAAGACAAAATCGCGAAATATAGTATGCTTTTCTCTATTTTTATTTTTATTACGTAGATATATTTTTTAGCAACCACTATAATTTGCAGTCTGTCTACTTTGAATTGATTTGAATATATATATATATATATACGTATGGTTGACGGAAGAAAACAAGTAACTACATAAGTATCCCTACAAGCCTGTTTCGTGGTTGCCCACTCATCAGGGGATTTTAATGAGAATAACTTTACCATTACTTATATACTAGACTGATTTACATAATTTATTCAGTGCGAGGTTCGTTACATCAGTTGTTGCGTAAGAGGGCTTTGTTTCTGTGGCGGCAGGAAGACACGAGTTCATTACGTTTGTTAAGTGTAGAGAGTTCAGGTCGGCAGATGATAAGGAATTTTTCTTTAAGACATAAGTTGCATCGTTTGCTTGAGCTGTTGTACGGCAGGTGTGAAGATAGAATGCGCCAGGCGATAGAGTAGTTGATGTTGTTTTCTTTAAGAGTCCAGACGTGTTTGCTGAGTTCAGTGGAGTTTCTGTTCTTTGCGTGACGGAATGATGACATGTGGTTGCTGTATCTTGTTTTGAAGTCGTTCGCAGTAAGCCCGATGTACGTTTCTGTCGTGTTGGTGTCTTTTCGTGTGACAGTAGCTTGGTAGATGACAGCAGGCTGAAGGCAGTTCCCGTTGAGCGGGCATGAGTTATATATATATATATATATATATATATTTTTTTTTTTTTTTTTTTTTGCAATCGCGTAAATGAGTACTCGCGAAATCCGGCTCCCGAATATTCGCGAATTAAGTAAGGGTGAAAATTAGTAAGAATAAGGTAGAACAACTGAACACTCCAAAACCATTACAAGTAGCAATCAGTTATGAGCTATTGCAGACCATGGGTCACGTCAACTGGTCATAACTTGAGATGGGACCATTTCGAAATTTTGGAAAGAGGGCGGTCGGACATCCATTGCAAGGTAAAGGAGACTCGACCTGCTGATTAAGGATCTAAAACCTTCTGTAAATAAAAATGCCAGCAATCGAAAAACTTTACATTTTTTAGTTTGCATGTTTTATTAATACGCTAATTTTCTTACAATATGTCATCTATTGTTGATTTAATTAGTTTCTCATTCTACATTTCAATCTCTGCTATTATTTAACGGTTTATTCGTCTAAAGATGTATGTTGGAACATACGAGACGTCAAATTAAAGTTTTAATTCTTTCCAAAAATGCGTTTATAAATGCGCTAAGATGGTATCTATAGAGCAAGAAAGTCTATCTTCCTTTGATTTCAAGAAAAGTCTATCACAAAAAATGTCTCAAATTTCAACTGCCTTCTTTCAGGATTCAGTTCATTTGAATGCTTTGTTGCTACTGCATGGTTACTTCTTAAGGCCAGGCTCCCATACATTTAAAACCGTTTAGAACTTGTTGTTGCTGCATCATGTCTTGCAAAATCACAGGCAGCCCAAGCTCACGTCACGTGAAAGGATTAGATTAATTATTAGCGGTGTGCGAGCCGGGACGTGACTGTTCAACGAAAGCGGTATTGGGTTACATGGCGGCCGTGAATTTATAAAGGATTTGTATGGGAATCCACGTTATAGATTTAGGAAGATAAATACTCGTAGAAATTCTCAATAAAAAACGTCTTACCTTATTTACATGGTGTGTTCTTGCTTGCTGTGTGGTTATTTATTTTCCCGATCCGGTGCGATTTTAGCGATTTTTTTCATTTCTGAGTTTCCACTACTAAAGAGAGAGCAAGGCCGAACACTTCCAATCTGGACAGCCCGCCGAACGAAGCCAAAAATTCCAGGTTAAAATATCCCCACGGCCAAAATTCCACCGCAGAATCCAACTACAAAGGTTAAACTTTCATTTCAACTTTCTAGCCACGCAATCGCATCCCTGCGAGCGACGCCAGGCGGCAGTTTGTTTCCCCGATGAAACAGTAAAACGTTGGGCCAGAACCGCGTACAAATCCACCACGACACAACGACCGTTGAAATCGGCTTGGTAACCTCGTCACGTTGACAAACAAAGACTCACGGGGTACACTAACGGATGAGAACAGAAATTCATGTTGACAATTTGCGTTAGTGTACCCCGTGAGTCTTTGTTTGTCAACGTGACGAGGTTACCAAGCCGATTTCAACGGTCGTTGTGTCGTGGTGGATTTGTACGCGGTTCTGGCCCAACGTTTTACTGTTTCATCGGGGAAACAAACTGCCGCCTGGCGTCGCTCGCAGGGATGCGATTGCGTGGCTAGAAAGTTGAAATGAAAGTTTAACCTTTGTAGTTGGATTCTGCGGTGGAATTTTGGCCGTGGGGATATTTTAACCTGGAATTTTTGGCTTCGTTCGGCGGGCTGTCCAGATTGGAAGTGTTCGGCCTTGCTCTCTCTTTAGTAGTGGAAACTCAGAAATGAAAAAAATCGCTAAAATCGCACCGGATCGGGAAAATAAATAACCACACAGCAAGCAAGAACACACCATGTAAATAAGGTAAGACGTTTTTTATTGAGAATTTCTACGAGTATTTATCTTCCTAAATCTATAACGTGGATTCCCATACAAATCCTTTATAAATTCACGGCCGCCATGTAACCCAATACCGCTTTCGTTGAACAGTCACGTCCCGGCTCGCACACCGCTAATAATTGATCTAATCCTTTCACGTGACGTGAGCTTGGGCTGCCTGTGGCAAAATAAACAGGAGTATAGAAATTGAAGATGAAACACAATAAGGTATAAAGCTATGATTTTCAGGGTGACGCTCAAAAGCATGACGCTCAAATTTTATGAGACAAATACGTCCAACCCCACGTAGTTAGCGCTCTTCCTTAAATTCGACAACATAAATCAACTTAGTTCTAGTCAACCAATCAAAATCCAATACATTCATCGGCCTTAGAACAACTAAAAGACCTGTAAAACCGGTCGAACTACCTAGAAATAGCACATGATCTTAATGATTTTTTTGGCAAAGTTATGAGATGTCGCAAAAGAAAAGAAGTCGAAATCTGTCCTTATTATACTACTTTGTGATAGAGAGGAATATAAGAATGCAAACAACACGGCTGAGAGCAATCATGACCGTGAGGATTATGGCTCCCCATCCGCAAGCCATAAAGATCACACAGATAGCGGCACATCCTCTGCTTCTTCAACAACTACCTTTGAAGATTCTGCCACATCCACTACAAAAGAAGTTTGCTAAAGTTTTACTCGACAATTATATGATAGTGAAAGTGAAAAGACAAAAAGTATGGCTAAGTGCCAGAGGCAATTTGGAAATGATTTACTGTCCAACTCTACAACGGCTCAAAGTAAGACCTGGGGCCCGTTTCTCGAAAGCCCCCCTAAGATTGCGGTGCCGGGTTATCCTAAAACATGGGGTCCGGAAAAAAAACCTCGCCGAACGCCAAATGAGTATGAAGTTTTAGTGATTTGGGTTAGGAGACTGAGTGAATCAAGTTTCAGTTCAGTTAGCACCAGTTCCCTGACCCTTATCACTAAACTTCAGAGTCATTCGGCTGTTTCTTCCGGATTCGGGGTTTAGTTCTTTAGGCAAACCCTATGCTTATGGGGGCTCGGTAAGTCCCCCTGTATTTGGCCACGAATACCCCTTAAGGTCCACAATGTCAGGCTCCGGCGACATTCAGCCACGTGAGTGGTCGATAATCACGTGGCAAACATCTTCAGACATGGGCTGCCATGGCTTCGTTCTTAAAACAAACAAACTAAACAAAATAACATCAACATCCGCAGCAACAGCGAGAAAAAGGCTACTCCCATGAAAAGAGTTCATTCCATCTCCACAAAGTCATCCCTGTATCATAGAAACAGCCCCCCTCACCCACAAAAACAAACAAACCAACAAAACTTAAGTTGTTGCTTACTTTATTGTAATTTTTACTCTTAGAATTTTCTTTTTATCGAACCCCAAGGGCTTACTTTGTTACAACTGCAGTTAGTTTGAGTCAGTTTAAAGTAAGTTCTATGACTTGAGGCCTGTCATGCAGTGAGAGCAAAATTTATTTATTTATATGTACTTGTTTATTATTTTTACATATGCCGAACAATATTGATCAACAGATTTCAACTCTGGAAGAGACTTGAAAGTAAGGACCACATTTAAAAATAAGTATGACAAAATTGTAAGTTACCGCCTTGTATAAGTGACACCCTATCCTAAAAACTGTCATATTTTTCCTCTCAACCTGCGAAAACAGACGTACTTCTGGTCGTCGCCTCTCTCCACCCGAACAACTCGTGAATCTCACGTAAATGACCACCTTTTGTAAGCCACAAACCGACCTATTAACCTTTTGTCTCGTGGAACTACATATATCGTAACTTGCAATTACACTCAATGAACCCATTTCCAAGTAGGTGTTTCGGGACCTCTACTTAATTAGAAAAGCGACCAGCACGAAGTCTTGAGCGGTTTGGTTGGTCGCTTATGGAGGGTTCGATTGTAATTGAATAATACCAAAGTGCCTTCATCTACAATCTTATGTATCGGGGGCACCCAGCGACTGTTTTCTGTAAATTATCTGAAGAAGCAGATATTGCCTCGAATTTTAATTCTGTTACTTGAAGACGGCTAAAAAATTCTAGTTGACCCTTCCATTCATGTACAATCTTTGAAGCTAGTGTTATAACTTCTTTACGATTTTCTGAAGTTTCATTTTTCACACTTCATTCCCCAGTTTAGGCTATTTTCCGTAGAAAAAGGAAACCTGAAATTTTCGGATTCAAAACTGTGATGGAGAGAGGAATTAGAAAAATTCTCACTTTCGTAATACGTCAAAAATTGAAACTAGAATTTTCGGAGAAATAATACTGAAGCCCTTATAATTTCGAAAAAGACTCAAGTTCCCCTCAGAATGCGGGCTGAGCAGATACAAATTTTATAGCGCCGTTTATAATACATTTCGAGATATCTAAAAGTACTCTAGATAGCCTAAAAAGTGTTTTCAGTGTATTTAGGAGGAAACCTTCGTTGGGTGCCCCTGATTTATCTAGGTCAGCTTCGCCCCATGCGAGGTAATCCAACCAAGTCCAGAATTCTCGATTCTCCACTGTGGTCGCTGTGGCTTCCGGATTCCAGGCACCGGAAGTCCGGATTCCTTGTCTGTGGAATTTGGATTCCGGATTTCAATCGTTTGCAGGATCCCTGATAATTCAAGATGGACTACAGATTCCAAAGCCCAGGACGCCGGATTCCACATGCAAACCTTTCCTAGATTCTGGATTCCACAAGCAAAGATTTCCCCGACACCGGAATCCGGAGTACCTGACATGGGGCAATCAACTGACAGTCATTGGATTGTGAGGACTTAACTGAACGCAGTGGATTTCGCTGGGAGAAAACTAAACTAAAGACAGGAATTCTAACGAGAATATGATGCTCAAAAGTGGCTAACTTGGCACAGAGTTGTGGATGAAGGACAGACAGCTACATAGCAAGACTTTCAACAGGTTCGATACCTATTGATCCTGATTTTTTCTTGCGGATAAGTTTCTTAGCTGCTCTCCTGAACTGCTGCATTCTTATAGCATAAATAAGGGGATTCAAGATAGGATTGAATAAATACAATGCGTCAAAAGTATAGGAGACACGATAAGCTATCGCCGTTGGTGAAACTTTATCCTGCCACAAGTGGTCTGCACTTATGGCATCCCTAATAACAGCAGGAAGAAAAGTCAGAAACGAGGCCACGGCTATTATAAATAATGTTAGCGATAGTTTTCTCTCTTCCGAGAGTAACGAGCCAAAATTCTGTGCCGAGTAAGGATATTTCTTGACGTTTAGAATAATCCTAACATAAGAAACTGCGAGAATTACAAAGGGTGATGAAAGCGAAAGATGCATATACGTATGGGAATACAAACGAAACACGCAATAAAAGAAAAGCAAAAACAAATGCTAGAACCAATGCCAGCGACCAACTAAAAGCAATAATCCTAAACTAAACCTTTCGTCCAATAAGGCAGTGCTTGAAAGGATATATTGTAGCGTGTAACCTTTCTAAAGAAATCAATAAAATATAGACTAAGGAGGCTACCGGAAATAGGAAATACAAAGTCAGTAACATAAGTTCTTGCCAGCTGAACCACTCTTCTGTAGAACATGGCAGGTACCTCTCAAGGATAGCTGGTTCCAATATGGATAACAGGCCTTCAGTTGTTCCAAATAGTAAATCAGCCACAGTCAGATTTATTATCAGGTACGTACTGCGCTTGCGTAATTGGTGGTTAGTTGCGAAGGTGGCGAGTGTAAAGGCGTTTACCAAAACAATGAAAACTACTTCAGTGACAAAACTTGCAAACCATATCCTTTCTTCTGTTTCAGAAAAGATGAACACTTCATAAGATTCATTGGTAGCACTGCATTCGTTTACCCTCAAATAAAATGTACTCAGATTCATCTTACAGCCAGAGCGTTGCTTTCTCTGACATTCATGTAACTTTATTACCTGAAAAAAACGGAGGAAAAAAAGAGTGTAAATTAAAACATCCACTAATAATAATAATAATGAAAATAATAATGATAATAGCGAAGGTTTTACAGAGTATCAGAATTTAATAATATTCTAAATTGGCTGTTTAAGTAGAGAGATTCATATCACTATGTATTTTAGGATTGTATTAGGTTTCGTATCGACCTTTTTTTACTTCTAAGTATAGCTTCTCAAGTGGTGTAGGTTACGCTATGCGCCCTATACTACTCATAATGTGGACAGCATTCCAAAGTTTCATACTGCGACATAATAATAATAATAATAATGATAATAATAATAATAATAATAATAATGAGTGTTTATTTCATCAAAAGATAAAACTGCATATCTTATGTTACAATAATACCGAATGTAAAAATCTATGATAAAAATATCTACATATATATACGTACATTAAAAAAAGTATGTCATTACAATAAATGGAGCTTAAAAATCAACCTATTTACAAACGTGTTCATAAAACGCTCTGTGTTAATTTTCGGGCGTGCGCAGCATTTTTTCCTAATATTATGTACATGTCTTCTGGACAGGAATGATATCTTTCAGTGGGTGACAATCCGTTGATATTAGTTTCTTTAAAATGTTTCTGTCTTGTTTATTTAAAAGGTTCTTGATAAAAACTGGAAATAAAATAAAACGGCGTTTATGGCATCGGTCTAAAAATTTTTGTATAACCGTAAGATCGGACTCCGATGCCCCATAGACTGAAAGCACATAGCTAAAATTGGTAAAGCAATAGATATAAAAAGGTGATCTATCTCTGCGTGCGAGTAGTGTTCCTTTCTTAGTGTCCGTAGGACGTGTAAACGCTTGTTTGCTTTGACAAGCGTGGTTCTTATATGCTCGTTAAATTTCCCGTCACTCTGTAGAGTTACTCCTAGTAAAACAAAGCTATTACGTTGAGGAATATTGTTATTGGAGAGTAGAGTGCATTGTGATTTTTTTTCTAACAACCAGCTCTTTACATTTACAAGGGTTGCAGACCATTTTATTGTCTTTCCACCAGGCAGAAAATTAATGATGGATTGTAGATTTCATGGTCTTCTATATATGTGGACGTGGAAATGCTTTCTTTCTTTTCAGTAAAAGAATTTTTTTTTTTTTTTTTTTTTTTTTTGCCGTAACAGACGCAAATTATTCTTGCCAACTGTTAATGATAAAAACTAGACAAAATTCAAGTGAGAAACGGTTCAGTTGTTTGTCGCATACAATAAGAATCAATGGACAATATCTAGCGAGTGATTTTAAACATAACAACAGAATAAGGACTTACTGTCGAAAAGTGAGTTCTTTGACTCTTTGTAGTTAAAATGTGTAATTTCCTTGTTTGTATTTTCCCTTCCTTTTGCTGATTATCGCCAGGATTAAAATATATTTTTTCCTATTCTTTGAGGGAACTCAAAATGAACAGGTGAAAATTGCCCATCTAGTTGTTTCCCTTTATTTTGTAAACATGAATTTCAATTCAAGACTTCAAGTATATATTAGAGGAAGCTTGTCAGTGTCCATCATAGCCTAATCAATGTGACACCTGCTTATTTAAGAGAGGTTATTAACCATATAATATAAGTTTTGGGGCCTAACAACAGATAAAGTTATTCTTAACCCTCGGAGGCACACGTAAAGCATACCCCCACAGTGGTACAAGGGGGAGGGGAGTTGATGGACCTTCCCCCGTCCCCCTTCAGTTTTTGATATGTTCCAGTATTTCGAAACAATTTTGCCTTCAGTGGAAACCCTACAATATGAGGTATGTTTAATGGGTGGTGGCGTTGCTGGAGGTCTGTGACGTCACCACACATGGTCGCCATCTTGGTTTTTTCAAGAAAAAACCACGAGAATTGATCGTTGGCTTGACAAGTAAAATAACACATAAGTAAGTACTTTGCATCATTTTATCCACAAGCTTTACTTTTATTGCTGAAACAAGTTGAAAAACACACATTTTCACTCAAAAATGGCTTGTGGCTACTTGCCACTTATGATGTCGTCATATCTCGTAACTAAACTTGTCTCAAAAGTGCAGGCGAGGGATGAACGAACAGCTACAGAAAACTTCACGGTGCTGATGGTTTATCGCCTTGGGAAAAAAATCAGAAAACCTTACTTGGACATACGAGCTTATTAAAAACTAAATGAATATCCTCTTTCAAATATTTTGAAATTCAGCATGATGGAGAGTTTAAGAGGCTATAAGCAAAGTTACTAACATGGTTTTTCCTTTATTTATTTATTTGAAAAATTTTTTTTTTTCGTTTGTGTCCCCCTGGACTCACCATCATGATGAATTTTGATATATCGATAGTGGCGTATGTTGTACAGATCACGTGGCCCAAAACGTATAAGCCCGCTTTGAATAATGAGGCTTAGGTACTAGGCAAGTCTGTTTTCAAGAACATCAACATAGGGTGCGTAGGTTCCTATTTCGTGATATGATATTTCTTTTCAGTTCAGTTTTATCTTATCTCAATATATTAAATTTAGTATACAGTGCATAATTTTCCCCACGTGTAGGCCCGTTGTTGGCGCTACAGCCCAATCAAGCTGAAGTTGAGAAAGTGAAACTAGCGACCTCGGAGCAGGGTACATCATTCCTATAAAACTAAAACCTCGTGAGACTTAAGCACGCGCTATTTCTTTTTTAACACAATTGTACGCCTTTAAAATAATTCCTTATTCACCATCGCATCGCCGTTTTCATTCACATTCCGACCCTCTTAAATGCTGAGATCATCGGCTGACAAAGGGTAAACCAGAGGATCCAACCAGCGCACTTAAATAAGGATTATTTTTGGCATTTGAAATAATTACAATGGAAACCGGTTAATACGTACACCGAAGGGATATGCCATAGTGTCCGTATTAACCCTTTGCAGGCTACTTTTGAATACGACAAAATATATGTCGTTGAGTTTTTTTTATATACATATCTTCCGGAGAAACAGAACTGTCCTTCACCTTTAAAAACGGGTGTCCGAATCAAGCGGGTTTGCGCAGAGCAGGGTTCCACTGTACATCAAAGATACAGTGATGATTGGAATGGCAAGCAAGTATTGAGACGACTCTCTTTCCAGGTCTGTTCACTGTGCCCCTGATGAGAATGACAGACCTTCTGAGCAGACAAAAATTTTTAAATTAACATCAGTCTATGTTCCTGTCTATATTAGTGAGCTCACTAGAACTTAATTACAGTGTAGCATAGCTATTTATCAATTTAGTTCTCGTACCGTAGCTAAATGAGTATTTACCACTTACTTAATGCTATGCATTCTTATTAAAAAATAAACGTATTTGTGGCTATTTTTCCCGCAGCTACAATTATAGTTTACGCTCAATGAACTAATGTGTGGTCATTGAACTACTGGTGTGGTTATTGATCTGTTGTGTGACTTATTTAACTGCTGTGTGGTTATTGAACTAACAAAAAGAAAAAATGTTTACGGAAATACGAAAGTTGCAGCCAAAATATTTCCTCTCCTCAAGTTGTATGTTACTCTTAAGTGAAATGAAATGTTTTATTTAGTTTCCAACAATATTTGCCATAGCAGTTTACCTGGTTTTTTTGTCTCTCTGTTTGTTTGTTTTTTGCTACTGTTTTTTTTTTTTTTTTATCATTATTTTACTCTATTTTATTTTATTATTTTTTCTTTATCTCACCACGCATATTTTTGTTACACTGATTAAAGATTATAAAATATATCTAGTAGCAAAAAGACCTCAGCAAGGTTGTTAGAGCTTTCCTAATAAGGAGATCTCCCATTTCCCATGTTTTTTCTTCAACAGGTATTTCGTGAGTATGAACATGTTATGTAAGTTGTTCATTGGGTTGCACACGCGTTACTTGTAGTGTCTTAGTAAAAAGAAGATTCCGGACTGCTTTCATAAACTCTTGCATTCTTACTGCATATATTAGGGGACTGAATATAGAACTGAAATAATCTGGCACAGAAAATGAGTAAGTGATGCGGAAAAAGACTGCATGGCATAACTTACTCAATAAGCGGTGGAGGAATTAACAGTCCGAGTAGCTAAATAAATAAGAAGAATGGTCAGAAAAGAGACCACAGTGACTGGAAATAAGGTCACCGTTAGTTTACCTTCTTTTGAAAGTGCGAGTCCAGCATTAGGATGGTGAGGATTGTTTTTGCCATTTGAGATGATTATAGCGTATGAAACTGTGAGAATGAGAAGGCAGAGAAAAAAGTAAGATGCAGATACATATGGAAATACAGGCGATGCGCGCGAAATAAGGAGAGAAAACATAGATGAAAAAATCAACGAGAACAACCAACTTCACAAAATAATCGCGAGGTAAAACTGATTTCCAACAAGACAATGCCTAAAGGGGAAAAGTGTTGCGTGTAACCTCTCTAACAAGGTCAATGAAATATTAGCTAATGAAGCAACTAGAGATAGGTAACTCAATGTCAAATACACGAATGATTACCAACTAAAAGCCTGCATAAGAACCAGGACACTCTTCAGGTTATATGTTGCAATTATTAGTGAAAGCCCGGCCACTGTTCCCACCAGAAATTTGGACACAGTCAGATTAATTATTAACGTACTGGGCATGCGTAAGTGACGGTTTCTTGACGTGTAGATGGGAACAGTGAAAGCGTTGAGTAGAAAGATGACAGTAATTTCGACGACACCAATAGACCATTTTACAGTTGTGGATGGAAGCGAGGCTGAGGGTGACCTTGTTTTGATACAAACCTTCTTGCTTTATTATGTAAATCAAGTTATTCTTATGCTAACTAGTATTTTTGAAGAACAATTTCCATAACAAAGCAAAGAAGGTTTGTATCAAAACAAGGTCACCCTTAGCCTCGCTTCCATCCATAACTGTAAAATGGCCTATTGCAAACAAGGCTCTTTCTTCGTTTTCTTCCGCATTATCAACAAACATGGTCACGGAAATTCAAAATCCTACATTATTAAGATTTTATATCCCTCCAGTAAAAGACCTCTTGAAAATCAAACAGAGCTGCACGTTTTCAACGTGACGTTGTTTTCGGTTTTGAAAATAAAGCTTGTAGTACTGTTACTCTGATACCGCAATATCTTGTTGATCCCAGAGCACGTCGGGCGACGAAAGATTAAAATATCCTCTCCCCTGGGAGAGCAAAAATGCCCCACCCCAGGGCCAACAAAGACAACTAAATCCACACCTCGTTCCCTGCTTTCCTTCCCTCCCCCTAGGTTTCGTCATTCATATCTTTGTTACATTGATAAGGATCACAAAAGATATCCAGTGGCAACAAGACCTCAGCAAGCTTGTTAGAGTTTTTTTTACCATTTCCTATGTTTTTCCTTCAACAGGTATTGCGTCAGTACGTGCTTGTAATGTAAGAGGTTATAAGGGTTGGACCCACGTTAAGGTCTAGTGTCTTTGTAGAAACAAGTTTCCTGGCTGCTTTCCTAAACTTTCGCATTCTTACTGCATATATTACGGGATTGACTATATAATTGAACAAATGTAGTGCAAAAAACGAGCAATCGATCCGATAAAATATTCCACGACAGACTTTACTTGGCATATGGGGTGGGATAATTAAGAAATGGTAAACGTGCAGCGTGCAACCATGGAGTTATGGATGCACGCGGGAGGTTGCTAAGCACGACGAAAGAAGCGTAAGAGTCGCACGAGGCGATAGCCGAGTGCGACTCTAGCTTCTTGAGTGCTTAGCAAACCTCCCAAGTGCATCCATAACTCCATGGTTGCACAGCTGCAACGTTTACCATTTCTTTTATAACATAATCAAAAGAGAAAAACATTGTTTTCCTCTTGCCTTCAGTTGAGTCATCGGTCGGAGTTCATGTATGCTGCCATCTGCCCGCGCGCAAACAAATTATGTTCTATATTTTTCAAAAACTTGCCTTTGAGTTTTTCTTTCGCTGAATCAGCCGTTCTCCGTCTTCAGGTAAATTGCAAAACGTTTTTTGTTGTTATTGTGAATGGCATCTGTCTAGTTGCTCTTAATATCAGGGTAAAAACTTTGAGGGAAAACTATATCTGCAACTATAAACACCAACTAAAAAGACTCTAAAAAATAAGCTAAAACTAAATAAATGAAATAATTATTAAGCTTATTTACGTGACAATTGAAATAAACGTAAAGTAGAAATGAGAAAATTTGACAGTAATTCCTTTAGAATAACAGGTAACACTATTTTTAAAAAGAAATTAACTAGCTTTGTATCGAAATCTGTCTGGGGAAATCCAGCTATGAAAGTCAACTGAAATTCGCCGACACACAGCCGGCGCTGAAGCTGTTGTTTTTCGACTGTTCCCTGAACGACTGTTATGAATGAACACTGAGGAACAAACTAATACACACAGAAGTTATTTTTTGAAAAATTTATTTGAAAACCCAAATGTTTCTGTACTCAAATGAAATTCGCTTTAATATTCCAGCGTTATGTGCCCGTTTAAACTCAACTAAAATTGTTAATCGATGCGATGAAAACTTCACAACAAAGCTGTCTCGAATTTGAGCGTGTTTCCTAAAATATTTGCTTGAATTTAGCATCAGCTTGGCCAAAAAGTCAATAACACAATGGTAATTGATAAATTTACATTTCAAAAAGACTTTATCCTCTATAAAAAAACACACAAAATGTACCTTAAATCTTCGCTCGCTCGATTTTCCTCCAGCCGATTCTAGCCGCGAGGAAAACAGTGATTAATTCATCCAGGGCAAATTTTTCGCTTGATCTTTTGTCTTTTTTCCCTCAAAACGACAGCTTAGTATTTTCTTCACCTTCCACTTTTCATCTGTGCATTTCATCGGTGTATTTTACCGTCAGGAGAGGAGATTTGTTGAATTTGCCTAAATTTTACCGCGCTAGCTCAGTTTCTTAGCGTGCACCCACGGGCAAATGGTAGTGGCTAACTGACCAATCAGAGCGCGCGATTTACTTTTGTTATGTTATAATATGCCAAATAGTGCGAGGAAGAAGGATGAGAAAAGTGTGAGATGCATTGACATATGGATGTGCAAGTGATAAGCGCAAATAAAGAAGAGCAATAACAGATGACAAAGGCAGGGAGAACTACCAACCACACAAAATAATGATGAGGTAGACCCGCTTTCCAACAAGACAATGTCTAAAGGAAAAAGTGTTGCGTGTAACCCCATGGGGGGGTACTGCCATATTTGGGCTATATAGGTATGTGCCGCTGTGAAGGGTATGGTTTTCAAGCAGTTTACTCTAGGACAGGGTATATAAATCAGAGCGTTTGGGTCTAGAATAGGGTATCATTTTTCAGGAAACTGATCAGTTGGTTGAAGATTTTATCTAGACTAGCGAAACAGCTACTCTAGGGGGGATTTGGGGAGTTTACTCTAGTATAGGGTAGCAAAATTCAGCTGAACTAACTCTGGTAAAGGTTAAGGGTTCCAGGGTCCCAGCGGCACATCCCCACCCAGAAATTCCTGAAGTAGCCCAACGGGGTGTAACGTCTCTAACGAAATCAATGAAATATTAGCTAATAAAGCAACTGGAAATAGCTCTGTCAATGTCAAATACACGAATGATTGCTAGCTGAAAGCCTGTTTAAATTCCAGGTCCCTCTCCAGGTTATCTGGTTCGAATATTAGTAAAAGTCCGGTCACTGTTCCCACCAGTAAAAGATGACAACAAACTCGATCTAACTCGATGACCAATGCTGCAAACCAGGCTCTTTCTTCTTTTTCAGAAATTATTCTACCTGTCTCACTCCAAACTTGGCAGCATTATTTCATCCTCACCAAGTGTTACCGTGCCCGTTGGTATCCCTCATTTCTAAAGGAAATTTGCATTAAAAAAATACAAAAAAATTCCGCAATGCTGAGAACAACTTTTGTGGATGAGACATGTACCTTGGCAATATTTAAGGAACGATTCTTAGCTAGATGACATGGCAATTCGTAGGCGATGTTATTTTAGTTCCATTTTTCCGTTTGTCACAAATCTTTGAAATGGAGTTCATAGCTACGGCGGCGCTCTCCTCTTTGCCATTCGTTCATCCGTTCAACCAAAAACGTAATGAAACACTTCTTGCCAGAAACGTTTCTAGACTAGCACGCTTCTAATAATATTACTTACAATAATCTTTAGATAAGATTACGCTCACGATACTACAATTGCAGGCATGACTTTTCAATCGCAGCTCGTGTGCTTTTGATCATCACTTTTCAGTTAGTACACCTGCTATACCATCCCACCTATCCTTTTTGGCTTCTGCACTTTTATATGTTAATCAACGAGTTAGTTCTGGGAATATAACAAGACTGAAATTTAAAATTCCTACTACACTGTAGTAGCTAGTTAAAGAGAAAAATGTTCGCCTTTATATATCTAGGCATAACGCTTTTAAAATAGCAGAGTTACCGTAAAGAATCCTTAAACAGGGTTGTCACATGGTTGGTAGAATAATTTTTCGCGGATTTATTTTATTTTATTTATTTATTTATTTATTTATTTATTTATTTATTTAAAGATCCATGACATGAATGCGAAAAAATACTTCGTGTCATGGATCTTTAGAAGGACTTCGAAATCCGCTAAAAAATCATATCCCACTGAAGATTTTTCTCCACATGATATATATCACTGACTATCGTAGAACAAAAAGTAAACAAGTTAAGAACTCTTCGCACTTAAGATAGTGATATAACTTCTTTCCCTTGCACTAACTTACCGATTATATCCATGTTCCTTTCTTTTAATACACTGCTTTCTTGACAGAGTTCAACTTTTTACAAATATTTCGCAATAAATTAGCCTAACTTTAAAGAGCTTGTCAACTGAACAGGTGAATTTATGGAACCGTCATTCAGCTTTAATTTGTTGTAAACAACGTTTAATTATTTCATCCTTTATTGAACTGCTGTCCGTTCAGTCCCAGCTCTCTGCACTCTGTATTATCTCCAATAATTCTCATAACACTTTCTAGCTCAACATGTTATTATTGGTTAAGCAATTTCGCTGTCATTACGCGTTCGCACTAAAAGGAAAAAGAGGTTTCCCGTTAATTTAACAAACGTCACAACAATTATATTGCTGTCTTCACCTTCTGTTCATCATCATTTTTTGATGAAGCGTGCTCCCAAGTTAAGATGTTATCGGAGTGGCTATTAATATTTAAATATACCCCGGTTTCTTACAGACCTGTCGTAAACGAATAAATTATGCACTGTCCATCTTATGTTGGGTCTGCTTTTCGTCTTTTTAAAACCCTATGTATCTAGACTGGAGAGCGACCATTATGACAATTTGAAAATTATTTGATCAATAACGGACCACGTCAAAACGGCTCTGTAATTAACAGTTGAAAGGTTGTGGCGACGCGCGATTTATGTGACGGAGCGACCTTGCCGATCTCAAAGGTGAAGAGCGTGACATATCGGAACTGGGTGTTGGTGCACCAAATCTAGGCAAGTCTATTTTAAGAACATCAACATAAGGGTGCATAGGTTACTATTTCGTGATATGATTTATCTTTTCAGTTAAGTTTTATTTCATCTTAATATAATAAATTGAGTAAACATTGTATAATTCTCCCCAAGTATTGGCCATTTTGGCGCTACTGTTGCAAAAATACAAACCCTCACAAGCCTGGGCAACCGGGACGAGCATGATTGCGAGGCTAATGCGGGTGAACTTCTTGACAAAAACAAAAGGAAACATACGCAAATTGCGGCTAAGTCGTTGGAAAACGATACAAATCATGAGAACAATAAGATTTCAAAGCTCAAACTTTACCAGTACGCTGAAGGGATATCTGTTTCAAACAGCAAAACTGTGGAAAGAGCTGGTCGAACTAACACAGACATGAAAAAAGCCACGACTACAGCCAAAAGAAGAAGTAAACTTCAGCTTGAAAATGGTAAATTAAGCTTATGTTTAAAAGTCAATATTCGATTCTCTTTTATTTTCATATTTCTTATTATCCTGTTGTACTCGTGTGTATATCTGTAAAATGGATTAGTATTATCATCTGTATAATAAGTCTGTATTAAACTTCTAATCGACTGAAATGTGCATACGTCGATCGTTTCTCTACATTTAGCTGAATGTTTTTATAAACGATGTAAGCTAAATGTATAAATGACATTTATTACCAAGGGGAATAAATTATTTTATGCAGCCTGCGTGGCGTTTTTAGTATCCCGGATGGGTACATCCGGGACTTACATTAGTAGATACTTAAACGTCCGAACATGTGATTTCAGGCCTCTTTCAGTTCAGCTTCGGTGCAGGGCAAACATTTTTCTTCTTTGAAGACTGAAGAACATTAGAAAGAAACCCCCTTTATCCCATTTGAGAAGGACCTTGAAGGGAGGAGAAGATTTCAACGATCAGTTAAGTAGGCTCTGTTTACTTGTTTTTAGCGCAGTTAATCGCTATAACAAATCCTGTTGTTCGAGTCACATGGCGGCTGGTGAACCAGAAACCGCGTGTGCTTATTCATTTTGTTGGTGCTTAGATCGCCGGATTGGCGATCCAAAACTCTCTTGGAAGGCTTCACTTAGAATTGTGTTCAGCCTGTCTGGTAGTATTTCTCGTGATGGGGCGGCGTAGAGTGGATAAAACAAACCGGTACGATCTCGGAAACATTCGCAGCACCGCCCCCCATTTTACTGACCTTGAGCTGAGATCAGGCGATTCTATACGGGATAATGAAAGCTACCCTGAGTTAATCTCACTCTCTGCGATCGCTTTACCTGAGCTAGTACGTATAAACCGGGTATTGCGAATTTTAAGTTGTACGGAGCCACGTCATGTCTTAGACGGATAAGAAAAAGAATCTTTCAGCATAAACAACATGGCCGATCCCAATAGTCCCCTTAGGGAAACATTCCACGGGGCGGCTCGTCGGCAGATACAGTTGTGAGAGTTGGCAGAATCGGGGTTTACCTGTAGCCAACGACTAATGTTGAGCGCCCTCGTTGGAATACTTTACATCGCCATGGGAAGATAGGCCCTTCACCTAAGCATTTGGGGAGCTATTTTGAGAGCACTTTCCGAAGTGAAAGAGTTTCCTTTGTTTTTTCATTTCAAGTTTTGTTTCAATTCGGTTAATATATATGGTAAGTCAGCGAGTTATGTTGCTCACTGATACAGCTATTTTTTGTCAGCCACGATGCAATAATTTATATTATTTGGTTTGCCCCAGGTATGTTCTTTTTGAGTGGCCATATTGTCACCACTCTAGTTGTGTATAAGAGGGATGTACAGTTCTGGCGTTTGTCAGCATCGGTCATGATACTTATTCGGCGGGAGTGTTATTGCTCTGTGCCATTCATGTACCATTTTGTGCTGTTGCATCTTTTTGTTTGCCTATAACTACCTTGTGGTGTTATAGTACAGTTATTTGTGCCAGATTGTTTGATACTGTCATCTTCTCTGGTTTTTTATTTTATTTATTGTTTAACTGAGGGCTCCAATAAGTGGCTGTTTCTTCTTTTGTCTCACGGGTGACCAGTGTGGGCTTCGAAGCTCTTAGTAGAGCTTTACTTTTGTTTGTAATTCTCGACAACCAGATTAATGTTGGAGTTTTTGTAGTTACCAGAATGCCGCCCAAGAGAGGACAAAACTACACAGAGAGAGTTAACAAACGACGTCGTGCCGCTGACAGCAGTGCCACTACAGACTCGGGGGTGCAGCCACATCCATCACGGCTTCAGCCAGTCCAGTTGCAGGAACCTTCAAATGCTGCCCGGGCAACCCCACAGCTTACCCTTTCAGCAGAAGTATTGGCAGCGCTGACAAATTCCATCTCAGCAGCAGTATCAGAAGCACTGTTGACTGTTGCACAGCCCCTGCAACCTGCAACAACGGCAGCAGCAACGGCATTCCCAGTCGCCCATCCTTCAACATCTGCAGCAGCGGCAGCAGTCCCGGAGGTGCAGTTTGTTCCCGATCCCATTTCAATTTCAAGTGCAGAGGTGGTGAACAGAGGTTCAAGCGTTGTAGAAGCAAACCCCCACCTCTCCCAATGCTGACCAGTCGGTCCTCAACACCGTCAACAATGCAGTGCAGCAAGTGACAAGCTCCTTACTACCTGGTGCAGCACCTCAAAGTAAGAACACTTTTTTGTCAACTGCAGTGCCACTAACCCATCGTGTACCCGATAAGGTCAAAAAACAAATATGGTCCAACGAGTATGTGGACTTTGCACTACTGTTGAATAATAGCTTTACTCACTCAGATGATCATTATACCTTCAGGGTAGAGAAAGGTGATGGCGGCAAGCCAGCTTTAGTTTTAGCACCTAATCCTAAGCGGCAGACTGTTCAATCAATTGAGCAGTGGGTCTCAGCCTTTCAGGTGTTTGTCGCCATCTATTCAGAAAAAGCCCCTTACGACACCCCGGCCCTCATGAAGTATGGGTCTGTCATCCGAGAGTTAGCCTCTCAGGGAGCCAATTGGAGGTTCTATGATGAGAATTTCCGTAGCATTAGGCAGACAGGGGGGGCCCCTTGGGACCAAATTCACTCTGAGCTATGGCTGAGGTCTCATTCCTTTCGTCCCAAACTTAGTACCCAGCCGGGAAAAAGTAAACAACAGGGATCATTTATCCCAAAGGGATTTTGTTGGAAGTTTCACAGGGGGATTACATGTCCAGGATGCTCCTACAAGCACCAGTGTTTCCGGTGGGGAAACAGCCACCCAATTTCCAAATGCCAACAAGCCGCCAAACAGCCAGCTGGAAATGCGGGGCCCAAAACAACATCTTTTACCAGCCAGGGCACTCTCAACCGCACCCCTTCAATCCGAAGCACTCCCAACTCCGGTCAAAGCTAAGAGTTTAGCAAAATACTTATCAGGTTACCCAGAAAAGTTGTGTAATCATTTGTTAAGGGGCTTTTACATGGTTTCCGTTTACATTAATATGGCCCCTTAGAGAGCAGTTTTTCCAATAATCTTGTGTCAGCATCTGAGCACCCAGATCGGGTTGATCAAAAGTTAACTAAAGAGATCGAAGAAGGTCGGATAGTGGGACCTTTTGCAGAGCCCCCACTGCCTAACCTGCGAATATCTCCCTTGGGGTCATCCCCAAGAAAGTGCAAGGTGAATTTAGGATGATTCACCATCTTTCCTTTCCCTTTGGTGCGTCAGTTAATGATTTTATTCCGCAAGAGTTTTGTTCAGTACACTATGCTAAGGTCGATGATGCAATTCGGTTTATCAAACGTTTAGGCAGAGGTTGTACGCTTGCTAAGACGGATGTTCGGAGTGCTTTCCGCATTATCCCAATACACCCTTTAGACTATCACTTACTGGGAATGCAATGGGAAGGGAACTATTATGTTGACCGCTGCCTCCCCATGGGTTGTGCTAGTTCCTGCAAGACCTTTGAGGCCCTTAGTACCGCAATGGAGTGGGTAGCTCGCAACAAATTAGCGATACCTAACATCTTACATATTTTGGATGACTTTTTGATTCTTGAAAAATCCCACGAAGCTTGTGATGCTAGCCTTCAAAGGTTTTTGCATTTTTGTGAAGACATTGGTGTTCCCATGGCTCCCGATAAAACGGAAGACCCTAGTCCGGTATTAACTTTTGCGGGCATTGAATTAGATTGTTTAGAGAGGGAGGCCAGGCTTCCGAAAGAAAAAGTTGACAAAACCCTAAACGCAATTCGCTGTCTTCTACCCAGGAAAAGAGTACAACTGAAGGAGCTCCAATCCCTTGTAGGTCTCCTGAATTTTGCCTGCTCGGTAATTACTTCGGGTCGAGTTTTTATTAGACGCCTAATAAATCTCACTGTTGGGGTCAAGCGTGCTCACCACAGAATTCGGTTAACTTTGGAAACGAAAAAGGATTTAAGAATCTGGGAAACTTTCTTAGAATCCTTCAATGGAAAGTATTTTTTCTTAGAAGAAGCCTGGTCAACCTCTCATAACTTGCAATTTTTCACTGATTCTGCACAGTCTAGTGGGTATGGAATTGTTTTTGGCAGGCATTGGGCTTACGGTACATGGCCAGACGCATGAAAGGCACAGAATATTTGTTTTCTTGAATTTTTTCCTATTGTCGTAGCCCTCAGTACATGGTCTAGTGAACTGAGAAACGAGAGGGTGCTCTTTTTTACCGACAATGAGAGTGTAGTACATGTTATCAATAAGCAAACAACGAAGGACACTAAGATGTTAGCATTGTTGCGTACAATGGTTCTGATTTGCTTGAGAAACAATATCTTCTTTAGGGCGCGTCATATTCAAGGAGTTAAGAATGTGTTGGCTGATAGTTTATCTCGCTTACAGGTCGACAAATTCCGCACAGTGTCGCAGGGCATGGACCCCACACCAACCCCGCTGCCATCATACCTTCTACCAGAGAACTGGGAGATAGGCTAGCCAAGCTATTACAAGTTAGTCTGGGCACAACATCTTTAACAGTGTACCGTCGCCCCTGGCAGATGTTGCAAAAATTTATTAGGGATCGCCTAGGGCTCCAAATTCAGCTGTTTCCCCTTTCAACACATACTTTAGCCTTGTCTATTGCCTTTTTAGCTGAGAAAAACTATGCAGCCTCCACCGTCTCTAGTTACATTTCTGCACTAAGTTTCCCCCATCGTTTAGCTTCTGTGCCTGATCCCACTAAGTCGGAAATGATCAAACTTGCATTGCGGGGTTACAGTAAAATGAACCCTTCGAGAGATACTCGGTTGCCCATTTCATTACCCATACTCGAAAATATCATTTTGGCCTGCGAACACACAAAATCATCTCTGTATAGCAAAAAATTAACTCAGGCAATGTATGCTCTTGCCTTCTTTGCTGCCCTTAGAGTTGGTGAAATAACTTATCGGGGCAATCCACCTGGTCAAAATATTATTAGTATCGGTCAAATTGCCTTTATGGAAACCAGGGAGGGCA